GTCTAGTTATTTGAGCAGATTTTACTCTGATCTCTACATCAGTTCTCAGGGATTTGGGAGAGGAGTGGTTGAATGGGGAAAAAGGAAACACTCATTTTGCTGTTAAGTTCCAGGGGACTTGGAAGGAAAGATACATATTTATTACCTTGATGGATTAAAAATACACTATGATAAAACAAGATATTGTTTTTCATCTGTCAAATGGCAAGGATTACAAAAGAAATCTTGAGGGTTGGTGAGGGTTCAGAGAAATAGCTACATCACACATTGCTGGTGGGAACGTAACTGGTGTAAACTTCCTAAAAGACCATTTGGCAATATATGTGAGACATTTAAAAAATGTACGTGCATTTTGACCAAGCAATTCTATTTCTAGAATTATTAGGAACTAATCATAAAAATATATAAACATTTACATATATGGATAATCCTTGAAGTTACATATAATAATGAAGAATTGGAAATAATCTTAATGAGTAAAAACAGAATCTTGGTTAAGTAAGTTAAGGTATAACCATAGGATGCAGCCATTTAAAATCATGTTTTAGAATAATCTACGTGGCATGGGAAAATTCCTGGTCTTGTTAAGGAGAAAAGTAGATTGCAAAGCAGTTTGATCAATTTTTTTTTTTTTTTTTTTGGCTGCATTGGGTCTTCGTTGCTGCGCACGGCCTTTCTCTAGTTGCAGCGAGCGGGGGCTACTCTTCGTTGTGGTGCGCGGGCTTCTCATTGCGGCGGCTTCTCTTGTTGCGGAGCATGGGCTCGAGGCACGCGGGCTTCAGTAGTTGTAGCATGCAGGCTCAGTAGTTGTGGCTTGCGGGCTCTCGAGTGCAGGCTCAGTAGTTGTGGCACACGAGCTTAGATGCTCCGTGGCCTGTGGGATCTTCCTGGACCAGGGCTTGAACCCGTGTGCCCTGAACTGGCAGGTGGATTCTTAACCACTGTGCCACCAGGGAAGCCCCTGATCAATTTTTATTTATTTATTGGGCTGTCCTGGGTCTTAGTTGCAGCACACAGGATCTAGTTCCCCAGCCAAGGATCGAACCTGTGACCCCTGCAGTCTTAACCACTGGACCGCCAGGGAAGTCCCTGATAAATTTTGTTTTTAAAAAAGATACGTACAAGGGGACTTCCCTGGCAGTCCAGTGGCTAAGGCTGCAGAGTGAACGGGTTAGATCCCTGGTGGGGTAAAGGCACTGCCAAAAAAAAAAAAAAAAAAAAGATACATACAAAAAAAGAAGATACATACACATGTACACACAGAAAAGTATAGGAAAAAGCATATATCAAAATTATAAGGGACTTCCGTGGTGGCGCAGTGGTTAAGAATCTGCCTGCTAATACAGGGGACACGGGTTCGAGCCCTGGTCTGGGAAGATCCACACGAGCAGAGCAAGTAAGCCCGTGCGCCACAACTATTGAGCCTGCACTCTGGAGCCCCCGAGCCACAACTACTGAGCCTGCATGCCACAACTACTGAGCCTGCGCTCTAGAGCCCGCGAACCACAACTACTGAGCCTGCGCGCCCTAGAGCCTGTGCTCTGCAACAAGAGAAGCCACCGCAATGAGAAGCCTGCGCACCGCAACCAAGAGTTGCCCCCGCTCGCCGCAACTAGAGAAAAGCCTGCGTGCAGCAATGAAGACCCAGTGCAGCCAAAAATAAATAAATAAATAAATTTAAATAAAAAAAATTATTAAAAAAAAACAACAGGGGCTTCCCTGGTGGCGCAGTGGTTGAGAGTCCAGCTGTCGATGCAGGGGACACGGGTTCGTGCCCCGGTCCGGGAGGATCCCACATGCCGCGGGGCGGCTGGGCCCGTGAGCCACGGCCGCTGAGCCTGCGCGTCCGGAGCCTGTGCTCCGCGATGGGAGAGGCCACAGCAGTGAGAGGCCCGCGTACTGCAAAAAAAACACAAAAATCAAAACAAAATTGTACCAGAGATATGCCAGTAAGAGGAATGGCTAAATTTTATTTTATTTATTTTTGTACTTTTCTCTATTAAAAAATTCTAAATGATGTGCATGTTTTACTTTGGAAATCAGAAATTTTCTTTTTCTTAAAAGGAAGACCACACCACAGTGCTTCCAATGGCCAGATTATGGACTGGCATCCTCCTCCCTGCTGTTTGGTTCGTGTCCAGTTATTTCTGGGTGTCCTCTGTCTCTCCACCTTCCTCCCGAGCACGCACGCCCTCTCCCCACCCCAGCCCTCTCCCAGAACTCAGTCCTGTGCTCGTCCTGCTCTAGGGCAGGGGCGCCCCGACATGCGCTTGTGTGTTTAGCTGGGGATGGAATCCCGGCACACGCCTCCGAGGAGCTGATCCGATCCACTCCGTACCAAGGGGGTCTGATGTTTTCCACACCCATCCAGCCCGTAGGTACAGGCTTCATGGGCGATCCATCAGGACAACCTCACACAACCTGACAGTTGTTTGCTCACAGTAGGTGCCCAAGAAATGCTTGTGCTCTCTGGGGATGAGGAAAGACAGGAGAGCTATGGGAGTGAAATTAACTGGATGGACTAGGACTGGGCCAGGCAGAGAGAGCGACTTGGAAATACTTGGCTTCAGGATGGCCGTCTTCTCGATCAATATTAAAAGTTCACTGGCTCCCAGGCCATTTGGCTGGCATGTCCATCCCTGGGGGGCATTTTAGCAGCTTAAAAAGAATGAAATCATTAGCCCAGCTTGTGTTTTCAGGCCGCATCACGACTGTCAGTGGAGCAGGGTATTTCACTAAATGGCAAATTAGAAAGTTCCCCGAATTGGGGGCAGCAACCCTGTACGTAGAAGCCCCTTCCTCATGGGCGTGGGGCTGATTCTGTCTCCAGGCAGAATCAGTTGGGGGCTGTTTTTGTTGCCCTTTGCTATTGAATTTGCCAGACGTGTCAAAGACGTGATCTCATTGACGAAGTACAACCAATAAACCAGTGAAGTGAAATGCACGGTGCTTCTCACCGTCCGTCCTTCTTGGCTGGCTTTGCCCACTGTGAGCACTGGCTGTACCAGGCTCCTGGTCCCACAGTTTGCTATTTTGTATTTGTTCCCTTTTTACTTATAATGGCTCTCTACTTGTTACATATAAAAAGGCTGTGTTCCCTCAGGGAGCAGGTGTTGCAGGGGGAAAATCCTCAACTTGGAAAACCAGAGGCCTTATTCACCAGTGTTGTTACAGCAGCCAAATGCATCGGCCTACACGCAGCTTCGGCTGTAAGAAACTGCTCCTAACCGTCCTGATGTGATTGTTTTGAGGCTGAAATGATATAGGTATAGAGATCAATGTAAAACACGATGTAGGTGTATCACATTATCTTTTGTACAGAATGCAGTTGGTTCTTAAGAAATAGGAGATAGCGTTGCATTGTGGGGGCTGTGAAGGTAGGCACTGGAGTTAGGCCCCGACTTTGTGCACTTGGGCAAGTCAGCTCTCCAAGTCTGCCTGAGGCTGAAATGAAAGCACTTCCAAACAGTACCCAGCACATGGTAAGCATTTAATAAATGTAAGCAGCTGCCGCTGTTGCTACTGTCCATGAAGGAGAGAGGTATATATGTCAATAAAAATTGCATAGTAGGGCAGAAAATCAGGGTTTGGGGAGCACAAAGTAGAAGTGGGAACTCTATAAGCCAGCAGCTTCTGTTCATCCGTCTGGGAAGGCTTCATGGAGGAACTGGACTTTCTAGAACTCTTTGCATAATAGTTGGAAGATGAGTTGTCTGGCTGGGGAGTGGAGCTACTAAGGGTGCCCCAAACACCTGATACAATTTGGAAGAGGGTTGAGCGGGTGCAGGGTGAGCAGCTGATGGGAGGTTGAAAAGTTCTGAAAAAGGAAGGTGGAGTTGGCCTTAGGCTTGGTACCAAAATGTAGGCCTGCTGCCTGTGTAAAGCTCTAAAACAGAGCAGGTGGGACCCTTACAGGACATGTTGAAGTCTTGAATTTGACAGGCAGTGAGACTGAGAGCCTCACGGGCCTTGCAGAGTTCAATGGCTGCTGCAGACCTGAGGTAGTGACCAGCACTTTGGCAACTCTGATGATGCCTGACCAGCAAGACTTGTTGCTGAAGCCAGGGATTCTGGACAGTTCAACAGGCGAATGAATTATTAATTGAAGCTTTGTCTGATTACATGGAGGAAGAGAGAAGAGGAGGAGGTGACTCTTGGAAGAGTATAAATTATTGGGGAGAATGTGGTTCTCCACATAGAAGAAGAATGCTCTGCTTTAAGAAAGGGACCCAGAAAGGATATTGACTTTGTCTTGACAAAAGGTGAGGTTAATACCGTCTATATCAAGGAACTGGTGTCAACTTTCAACTTTGGTTGAAAGAAAGTCTACTCATTTTCAAGCAAAGCTCTTTAGGAAGATGCCCCAATTTGAAGCACATATGTAAATATTGCTAATCCCATGCAAAGGCTCATAGGCTCGCAAAGTATGAGAAGGACCATCAGAGATCAGTTCTAGTCCAATATCCTCATTGGATTAGATAACTGAGGCCAAGATGGAGTAACCTACCGAAAGGCACACACAGATATCTGCTTCAGTTCTCTCCATATTTTCTTTTCGCTCTCTAATCCCGAAACTTGAGGATCCCCAGTCTCTTTGTTTCCCTTCTTGATAGGATCAGAAAGAAAATTCCAGTTGTGTTGTGCGGCGGCTACTGAGCGCAACGAATACGTGCCCTTTAATCGCACCCTCTCTCCTCCCCATCTGGCCTGCTTTGATGTGCCCACCGTCCTTTTCCATTGGCCATTTCGCGCGGTTCCTCGCCCCCTTCTAAGGTTATCAACCAATCAGCTTCTCCCTGGACCCTCGGGGCGGGCTTTGAGGAATGTACCACTGGACCCGCGGGGAAGGGGTGGAGAGGAGGAAGGGTGTGGCGGCGGCTCCTTTCCTTACCTTCTGCATAGAACTATGAGCTTCTGGCAAAGTCTGAGCCTACGGGTAGCGACGGCGTCCCTGGGGATAGGAGGCAGAGCGGGTTCCGGAGGCGCGGTGATGTCGGCGCCCCGAGGCCGGGGTCCGGTGGTCGCGCCCCGGGGGCTGCAGCCCCGCCCTCACATGTGCCCGCCCCGCCCGGCGGCAGCGCTGCTACCTCAGCAGCCGCCGCGGTGCAGCCCGCGCGGGACGGCGAGCGCTGAGGAGCGGCCGTGGGGTGAGGCGCTGGCTGTAGCGGGGTCGCCGCGGGGCTGGGGCGCCGGACGCCGCGGCCGTAGGGTCGAGGGGCCGAGGTGCGGGACTGCGGGCTGCTGCCAGGACGCCGGCGCACTGAGGCATGCGGCGGAGGTGAGACGGGCTCTGGACCGGGCCGGGACCCTTGCGGGCCGGGCGCCTCCCTCTGGCCGCCGCGGCCCCGGAGCAGACGGCGGGCCCGGGTCCAGGGCGGCGGGCGGCGGGCGGGAGGCTCGGCGCGCTTGCCGTGGGCGCTGTCCGAGGCCGGGCACGAGGAGACCCGCAGGCCGCCCGCGAGTCCGCGAGCGGACGCGCCGCTGAGAAGCCGCGCCGGGGAGCGCGGGCGCGGTGGGGCCTTGACCACTCGTTTTTCCCGTGGCCCCCGTCCCCTCAGGTCCCCACGTGTCCCCCATCCTGTGTCCCCCTTGTCCCTCCTTTCCTCCAGGTCCTCCCATGTCCCCCATTCCCCTTCTCCTCGTCCCCTCGTCTCTCCGTGCCCCCCATCCCCCCGTGTCCCCCATCCACCCGTGTTCCCATCTCCCCGTGTCCCGATCCCCCCCGTGTTCCTCCATCCCCCCTGTGCCCCTGTCCCCCCGTGTCCCCCCGTCCCCTATGTGCCCCTGTCCCCCGTGTCCCCCATGCCCTGTGTCCCCCATCCCCTGTGTCTGCCATCCCCCCGTGACCCCATTCCCCTGTGACCGCCGTCCCCCGTGTCCCCATCCCCTCGTGGTCCCCCATCTCCCGTGTGCCCCTGTCCGCCTGTGTCCCCCCGTGTCCCCTCGTCCCCTAAGGCGCACGGACCGCCCTCGTCTCCCGATTGCCCTCCGCACTCAGTTCAGGGAAAGCGTCCCCAGCCCTGCACCCCGCGTGTGAGGTCTAAGGTGGCTCCTTACCGCAGGCAGCATTTACCGCCGACATCAGGGCTTAGTGCCGAGAGATGGAGGTGTCTTGGGAGCAGTGTTTCTTCAAGGCTTACCACCTTCTCATCTTCTGGGTTGTGGATGGAGAGATGGCGTGTAAACTTTGCAAGTCCCATCCGTGTGACAGTTTGCCAGGGAGACAGTCGTTTGGATCGCACCCCAGGGTGCGGATGAGGCGGGTGTTGTAGGGAGCAGGACCCTTCAGTTGCGGGGCCTGGAGGGCTGTGTGCGTCACCACCTGGCCACACAGATGCCAGTTCCTTGTTTCGGTGGCTGTCCTGTAAGCACATCTGTAAGGGTCGCTCAAGAGGATAGCACAGGGACCTCCCTGGCGGTCCCGTGGGTAAGACTCCGCGCTCCCAATGCCGGAGGTGCGGTCCCTGCTCGGGAAGCTAGATCCCGCGTGCCGCTTGGTGCGGCCTAAGGGATAAAAAAGAGGCTAGTATGAATTTCTTATTTGATCTTCCAACGGACTTGGTCAGAAACTTGACTCAGGCTGTTGTGGCCCTGCAGTGAATGCTTCTTGTGCTCCAGGTTTTAAAAAATTTTTAACTTTTTGGATAGTATGTTAAATACCATGAGTTAATTCTAGAATTATAGGAGAAACAGGGTTTAGATGTTCCTCTTGCAAAGAATCTTTGGGAACTTGGACCTGGTTCCTAGCTAAGCCTCCTTTTTGTGTTCACAGCACTAACCTTTGAAATGTCTGGAACTTGACTGCTTGGTTGTGAGGGTTTTTTCCCCACCTGGGATGGTCCAGGTGACTGCTGTTTCCTGGTGTTCTAGGTGTTGGGAAGAAAATGGGCTTTGGAGTAATGTACACCAAGTATTTAGTGCAATGCCTGACACACAGTAGATGTTTAATAACCATGAATGATTTTCTTCTTTCCTGTCTGGTTTTGGGGGACCCATGGATGATGAAATCAGATGCAGTCTTGTTTGCGTGCTCGCTTAAGTTAGGACTAGTCCCCCAACCTCCCCACTCCTCTTCCCATCCCAACTCCTAGCTCTCACACCAAAATTTTTATGGTACATTAAAAATGAAACTCAAACCTCCAGACCTAGAAGTAAATATCAAACAAGAAAAAATTGAGCTCTTCCTTCCAGCTCATGTGTGCATTTTTTCAGAAAGGATGGTGTACACCGTGGAAGAGGTCTTACACTGCTCACACAGGTGAATAAATGGTCAGAGTGGACCCTTTCTTGGGTCTGTTGAGAAGTCCTGTGGGTAAGGATTTTGGTTGTCGTTGGTTTAACCTGTCCGGGCGGAACCATAAACTCTTCCTAATTTCTCCTGGCATCGGGATGTAAGAAATGGCCCAGAGTGAGTGACACCTGACCAGCAGGCAGGGCACAGTCCTAGATTTGTGGGCTCTGCCTCTGAACTGGGGTTTACATGTACCCCCTCCTGCTTGTACCAGGCTCCATGCGACCAGATTAAAAGGCTGTCAAACCCAATGTTCTTGAAAGAGTAAGTAGCACCATGGTTTATGTATGTCCCATAATATTGGGAGTCACATTTTAATAATAATCGTACTCTGGATTTATTTATTGCTTTTCTTTGAAGAAGTGAAAGCTTTTTCATCGTCTGTTATCATTGATTTGTTTTTGTCTCTGAGGTCATCAAGTTTAGTGCAGTGTGTTTTTCCTACCTTATAGATGAAGAAATGGAGGTGATGTGATTTGTTCTAAGTAGTGAGTTGATGCCTGAATTGGGCTTCAACTGAGTTTTCCTTCTTATGGAATTTCTTTCTTTTTTTTTTTTAAACATCTTTATTGGAGTATAATTGCTTTACAGTGGTGTGTTAGTTTCTGCTTTATAACAAAATGAATCAGCTATACGTATACATATATCCCCATATTCCCTCCCTCTTGAGCCTCCCTCCCACCCTCCCTATCCCACCCCTCTAGGTGGTCACAAAGCACTGAGCTGATCTCCCTGTGCTATGCGGCTGCTTCCCACTAGCTATCTATTTTATGTTTGGTAGTGTATATAAGTCCATGCCACTCTCTCACTTCGTCCTAGCTTACCCTTCCCCCTCCCGGTGTCCTCAAGTCCATTCTCTACGTCTGTGTCTTTGTTCCTGTCCTGCCCCTAGATTCTTTTTTTTTTTTTTTTTTT